CCACCCTCCAGGGCACTCATTTCCCCTCGAATCCGCCCTTTTCCCCCATTCCCCACAGCCAGTCTCTGGGGCCACCCCAGACCTCTCAGAGCCGGCCCCTGCTCTCCCCTGTGCAGCTCTCTGGGGCTTCCCCTTGCAAACTCTTCCCAGGCTCTTGCCCACCAGCTTCCAGCCCAGTTTCCCAGTGGGAGGCCCTACCCCTGATGGGGAGGTGAGTAGCAGTTACTTCTTCCCTTTCTCTCTGCTCGGGGCACTGGCTATACTTCTGCGGCTGCAGCCCCACCTGGGCAGCCCCTCTGTACGGCTGTTGGGACATGCCACCAGATTCCGCTTCTGGATTGAAGAATTTATCCGCCCCCTCCTGCCAGGATGCCTTTTGGGACCCGTTTTTGAAAACTGCCTTGACTGAGAAGAGCTACCTTGCCTGGAGGTCTATATCCAGTGGCCGGAGTATAAAGGTCCGGCCTCCCTGCCCCAACTTGGTTGGACTCTGAAGGGCATCCTAGCTTCAGACCTCCCATTTAGGGTCACCTGAGGCCCTCCTTGAGACTGCACTGAGCCCAGCTTTTCCCTCTGGCCAACCCTGTTCATTCCCTTCCCTTCCAAGAGCATTCCCCAGGAAGGCCACTACATGCTAGCCTCCATGTCTGAGTCTGCTCCTTGGGGACCCCAACCTTGGCACCCCTCCCTCTTCACTCCTGGTTTACTCTAGGGACTCTGGTTCCTGGGATGACACCACTTTTGTCCCTCCAGCCCTAGGGTGGCAGTAGCTTCCTGATGTTGCTGATCTCTGGGTTATCCACCCCCCCCACCTGTGCCATGTCGTTCTGTTGCGTTTCTGTTCTTCCAATACTTTTATAACTAATTCTCCACTGTTAACTTTCTTCATCGAACTTCCTGGCCTGTTTTGTTTCCCCGACCAGACCCTGACTCAGACAAACCCTGTACTTTCCCCACGTCCAGCCCCTCCTCTCCATTCTCACGATCTTTGTTCAGGACCTTCCCCCAGATTTCCTCAGTAAGCTGCCTGCTGGGTCACTGCTTCATGCCGTCAACAGTGAGCACCCACTCTGCCAGTGCACCCATGAGGTGCCGACAGGGTGGTATGCCGAACAAAATGTGTCCCTTCCCTCCTCACTCCATTCCCTGCACACCTCTCAGAGTACTTTTTTCCTAAAATTGGAATTTGATCATATCAGGCCCAGGCCTAAGGCTTTGCAGGGACCCTCGGATGAAAGCCAGACCACAGTGTGGAAATGTAGGCCCCCTCCTTGGCCCCGCTTCCCTTCCCAGCCTCACCTTGTCTCCTTACCCCCCTTCCCCTTGTCAGCTCCTGCCAGGGTCCTAAACATGCCAGGGCAACTCGTACCTCTGCACCTTTGCCTGTGCCGTTCCTCTCATTGGAATTCCCTCCCCTTCTGCCAATCTGGTGAACTCCTATTCGTTCTTCAAAACACCACTCAGATTTCCCCTCCCCCCCCAGCACCACCGTCAGATGTAAATGTCCTCCTGAGTGCTGTTGAGTGTTCCACCTAGCTTTCTCTTAAGGCTCCTTCCACTCAACAGCAGTCCCAGAGGGCAGGGACCATGTTTTATCTGGCAGTATATCTCCGGGCCCTGGCCCAATGCCCACTGTAAAGGAGAGGCTTCGTAAATGTCAACCAAATAAATGTACTCAAGGGCA